TGACCCTCTCAGTCCCTGAAACTCACTACAAAGGTGGATTTATTTTTAACTACTCTCTATCCTTCACCATCCTATGCCTGATATGTTACCAATTCTGCAGATTCTTCCCTTTGTTGCTTTTATTTCAAAACAACAGTATTATTTGTTCATTACTTTTCTCATTCACTCCTTCATCTCCAGCCCCATAGATTTTACCTTTGGCCCAAATTCCCATAGCTACTGCCACACTGTCCTTTCTGACTCAGATTTTTCCTTCCTCCTACACACCCTGCTGGAATAATCTTTCTCAAACACCGTTTATTGTGTATGTTATCAACGTCAGACTCCTCAACCAACACACTGGGTACGCCAGCAACTAACCTGTGTGTTCTGTATGAAGGGAACCAAATTCATTCATAGCATGGCCAGGCCACAGAGTCTAGCACCGTGCCTGCTGCACAGCAGGAGGGCAGCAAATGTTCCTCAAATGACATCAGCATCTGGTGGTGTTCCTTTCTCATCCTTCCAATTCTCTCTGCTGACTTGGTCTCTCTGTTCCCATCAAGCCTATTGGCTTCCTGATGCTCACTTGGGCCCTTTTTGTTTTGAAGAGCCTCTATCTTTCATTTCCCCAAAATCTTTTTTTTTTTTTTGAGACAGAGTCTCACTCTTTTGCCCGGGCTAGAGTGCCGTGGCGTCAGCCTAGCTCACAGCAACCTCAAACTCCTGGGCGCAAACGATCCTCCTGCCTCAGCCTCCCGAGTAGCTGGGACTACAGGCATGCGCCACCATGCCCGGCTAATTTTTTCTATATATTTTTAGTTGTCTGATTAATTTCTTTCTATTTTTAGTAGAGACGGAGTCTCGCTCTTGCTCAGGCTGGTTTCGAACTCCTGAGCTCAAACAATCCGCCCGCCTCGGCCTCCCAAAGTGCTAGGATTACAGGCGTGAGCCACCGCGCCCGGCCCATTTCCCCAAAATCTTCAGAGGGGGATGGGGAACGGAGAAGCTGACATCCAAGTTAATATCAAGGAGTTTGTGCCAAATATAGTACCAACTGCAAAGACCTGAGTGCAGAGTGGAATGAGGGCCGCTGCCTGCGAGGGGCCTTTGCCCCAATAAAACCGCGGAGGAGGCTAGAAGGCAGAAAGGAGAGCGGTGAGCCAGTGGCTTTGGGGTTTCCAAAGGGATCTTCTTGCCATTGAGAGATTCCAACCTGCCTAGCTGTGTCTCTGGTCTGATGCTCAAGACTGTTCTCTTACTTGGCACCACATCTCACACAGACACACAAATACCCAGTAGTCCTGGCCTCCTCTTCGCTTCATGATCCAGCTCAAAATCCACCTCCTGCAGGACGGCTCTGATAATCTCCACCCCACTGTGATCGTTTTGTCATCAGTTTCCCTCTAAGCCTTAAAAAGCTACCTTCAATCTTTTATTGCTTAGTCATGTCCTATAGCATTTTTAACCACATATGGGAGAGGTCCCCCTGGTTTATAAGCTCTTTCGTGGCAAGGACAGTGTCTTTTATTTATTTGATATCATCTATTTATTTTGAGTAGTAGGAATGAGGTACTTTGGAGGCACACAGACTTGGGTCTGGATCCTGGTTCCAACACTTATCTGTTTGGTTTTGGATAAGTCTCTTAATCTCTCTGAGCCAGTTTCATCATCTGAAAAAGCAGCTAGTGATACTTGCCTTGCAGAATGAGGGGCAAAGATTACAGAGATTACAAAGTGCCAGGAAAGTGTTTGTTGCATGGTGAGCATACAATAGTTTGTATTCTTTCCACGTACAGGAATTGGGGGCGGGGGGCGAGGTCTTCTTTAACTACCGCTCATACCGAAAAACTTTAAGCGTGAAAAGGGACACTATTAATAATTACGCCAGTTCCAGGGATGTAAGCCGGGACGCATGGCCACCCTCCCCTAGTTCACGATTACCAGCAGGGTTCGGATTGAGCACTGTATCCAAGTATCTAAGCATGGAGCCAAACATAGTTAAAACTCAATAAATGTTTGTTGAATGAACTAGCAAACATAAACTGTGCCTCCCTCAGTTTCTTGGACATCAGTGAGTGAACGAGCAAAGATTGAAAAGCCCGCCCCCGCCGCGCCCCCACCCCCACCCCACCGCGTCCCAGAGCATCCGGCAGTCTCTATTCCCTACGGTCTGTCCTTCTCCAGCCCGCCGCCCCGCCCCCGGTTGCCTTGGAAGCAGTGACGTGCACTCGGGGGGCGTGGCCTCTCTCCATCCTCTCCGGGAGCTCTGGGCCCCTCCTTCTCGGAACCTGGGGGGACACTGAGACTGAAGGCCCGGAGCTAAAGCGCCCAGCCGGCCTCCGCTCGGGCGCACGGCTTGCTGGAGCGCGGGCACCCCACCCGCACCCGGGTGAGCTGGCGGGGGCCCCGGAGAGAGCCGCCTCGGTCGCTGTGAGCCCCCTCCACCCCTGCACCCGCCAGCGGATCTTGAGAACCCGGGCCCCGCGCTCGGCGCAGGCCCGCCCCTTCCCGGGCAGCCGTCGCGCTCGCTCCGCTTCCTGGGGGGCGGGCGGGAAGGGCGGGCCCGCAGGAGGCGCGCTGGCGCCGCAGGGCGCGGCAGAGAAGGAGTTAAACTAGGTGCCGGCGCCGGGCGCGGCGGGAGTGGGGGAGGGGAGCGAAGGGAAAGTGAGAGCGGGGGCGGAGGGGGGACGGGAGCGAAAGAACATCCTGTGCCCGTCGCCGGATGCGCGCGGGGGGGGGAGCGCTGGATGGGGGAGGCCCGCGGCGGGGAAAGGCGCCGCCTCCGCCCCCCGCCGTCCTCCGCCTCTGGGGGCGCCGGCCCCTCCGCTCCCGGTGCTTCGGCCCGGTTTCTCCGGTCCGCACGCCTTCGCCGGAGCGACGAGCTAGCCGGGGCCCCAGAACCTGGTTCCTGGGCCGGGGAGAGCGCTGGCTGGGGAGGGGGTGGCCTCGGAGAAGCGGGGTCCACGTCAGACAGGGGCGGCCCCAGCCTTTCGTCCCCGCGCTCGGGCTCTCTGCCGCGGAAGCTCGCACGTGTCGCGTCCCCGGTGCGCCGGCATAGCGGCCCGTTCGCTCGCTCCTGACCGCGGCACTGCCAGGTAGTAGGTAGGTATTAATAGACTCCGGAGGAGGAAACTGAGACTCAGATGATGGAGTTTGTTCGAACCCCAGACTGCTGGGTTTTGACCCAACCCGGTTGGACTCCAAAGGGTTTTCATCAGAGTACAGAGTAGGCTAATTTTTCTTCGCACGTGTGCACACAAGTGCTGGGCGCCTGCAGGGGCGCCCTGGGAGTGGCCTAGCAGGGTGTCTTTCTTAGCAGGCCCCCGACTGCTGGAGCTTCTGAAACTAACTAGGCTGGAACACCCATCGCCAGGGTCCTGGTAAAGAGAATGAGGAAGTAGCCTTAGAGTGTCACAGGTGGTTGGATGGTTTGTAAGAACAAAGTAGCTCAGGGGAATGGGCTGCGGGATAGCTCCTGGTTTGGGTATTCGTGGGGGTTTCAGACTGCGCTCCAAAAGAGCAGTTGAATGGGTTAGAGGAGGAAGACGAGGGTGAGAGGTACTGGGACAATGGAAGGGGCTGAATAATGCACTTTTCAGGCCAGGATGCACGCGGCCTACCATCTGTTCTCACTGCGTTCCCACAACCAACATTTTTGTCCAGGTGGAAACTATATAACGATTATGATTACAGTTAGCATTTGTTGAACTTTGTGTGCTGGGCACTGCCCCAAGTGCTTAATCCTCACAACGCCATAAAGTAAGTTTTATTAGTGCCATTTACAGATGGGGAAAATGAGGCACGAAGAGATGGCTAGGCTGAACTGGTTGTGAACCCTGGTAGTCTGTCTAGAATCAACAGTCATTCACTAAACCACACTGCACTTAACACGGAGGTAACTTCAGCCTTGAAGGCAAAAAGCTGGTGCAAGTGGCAGAGAGGTGTGTGCTTGGGCAGCCCTCATCCTTTTCCCTGGCGAGGGCGGTAAGAAACTCATAGCTGTGTGTGTATCGACTCTTGACTTCTCTCTGGCCTGTGGTTCCAGATTTCTGGGTTTGACAGAAAAACAAAACAAGAAAACAAATGAAGGCCAGGTTCCCATAAAGAGTTGCAGCTTTTCATTTATGCTCCCTAAGAACATTCAAACCACACAGTGTATCATCATCATCATTTCATAAAATTTTAATTCTCCGATAAACAGGAACGACATCTGAATTGAAAACAGTTATTCCCAAGGACAGTCATTGACTTTATACCGACAAATAGACATTCCTCTGTCTTAATTTTTTTGTGCTGTGGTCTAGTGAAAATGTCACCCTGGAGATGACGATGACTCTGCCTCTACTCCCTCTGAATCATTTGAGGGCAGAACCAGAAGAAATGGGCTTTAGCTGTAGCAGGAAGAAGTTAGGTTACAGCCAACAAAGAACTGTCTTTGGAGGTCTTTAAAGAACTGGTGTCGCCACATTTGCTTCGGGCGTGAGGGTTGCAGAATCAACTCCATGGGATGGAGAGGCTGGTGACTCAGGGTCCCACTTTGTAGAAGGGCAGAGCAGGGACCTTGTCCTGAGGGATTTAGTCTCAGATCCACCAAGAAGCCTTGGAACCTAAAACGACAGTTCCCATCAGGCAGCCCTTTCCTGCCCAGAGTTCATGGGATGTGCGGGTGGTTGCATGGCAAGGGGGAGGCCTCCGTGGGCCTGTACTCAGCCCGCACTGCAGGGAGTCCCTGCAGTCACCCACCTTAGGGCTGAGTAGAGTGCCAGGAATGACCCTTGAGGGCTGAGGATGGAAGAGAGGATGGGAGGAGAACGAACACCCAGGAGTGTTGCCCATTCCCTGCTGCCACCTCCGTGTGATGGGCCAAGGCTCTGAGTGGGTGCGCCTGGCTGGCCACAGCATTGTTGGAGATACTATTTCCCTGTTTCCCCACTTCCCTCCAGCCCAGGTGCAGCCTAGGACCCAGAGCCTTCCGCCCGGCTATCCCAAAAGGAGCTCGAAGCCAAGCAGGTGAAGCCCTGTTCTGGTACAGCCACGCTCAACGCTGGCTCTGAGCCTACCCCTAGCTTGGGGCTTGTGACTTTGCCATTCTGTGCCGGAGTTGGGGTGGGGGCAGAGGGTGGTCTCACCTGCCTCATCCTAGTGGTGGAGATCAAGGCCTCTGAAGATGGGCTCCCATCCTCCGGGGTGGTGGCATTTTCTGACTCCAGAGGGGGTCTCAAGCCTGTCCCACTTGTGGGAGGCTGAGAGGTGGTGCTTCCAGTTTTAGACCCATGATGGCTGAAAGGCACAGACCTGCTCACGTCAGAATGGCCAGTCTGGATGCCTTCAGGTTACACGTGCAGAAACTGAGACCCAGGCAAGGGCAGTCCCTTCCTCCTCCAGGGTCACTCCGGTTAGAGGGGCTTGGACCCCCAGTTTCTAGACTCTGTCATCATTCTGCTCCCAGTCCTCAAAGACTGACAGAACGTGGCTTAAGTACCTACTAAGTGCAGGAGTCTGCTGGCTGCTGGAGTCGCGAAACAGCTGCCCTCAAGAGCTTCTTGCCAAACACGTGAACTCCAGGCCAACACGCAGGTGCAGGCAGGTGCTGGCTTTGTCCGCAGACTCCGTACTGTATGAGATGCTCCCCTCTTCATCCTCCAGTGAGGGCAAGGAGCCCTGCGGGAGAAAGCAGGGTCCAAGTGTAGATCTATGGTGGAAAGATCACAGATGGGAGGGCCAGAGATGCCTTTTTATTCCCTTGGGTCTTGAGCTGTATCTCCTATAGCCTCTAAAGCTGAAACTTCTCTCTTTTTAAAAGGACCCCTGACTGCCCCATTTCCTGACCAGCACCCTCCATCCCATGGTCTCCCCAGTTTCCTTTGTTGCTTCAGTTCCGATTCCGATACCCTGGTTCCGGGCCCTGCCAGAGTTCTGGTTCCAGAAGGCCCCTCCCAGGTGCCTTAGGCCTCCCTCCCACCTGGGCACAAGGCAACGCTGAAGACATGGGCAAGAGCATCCCCCAATACCTAAGGCAACTGGACATCCGCAAAAGTGTAATGAGCCTGGCCACAGGCGCCGGGGCCGTCTACCTGCTCTACAAGGCCATCAGGGCCGGCATAAAATGCCAACCGCCCCTTTGTTCCAACTCACCCGCCTGTATCGCCCGTGAGTGTCCGGGCCCTGGGGAGAGGGCTCTGCCCCAGGAGGCACCTGCTCCCGAGGTCTCCGATGTGGGAGGGCCCAAAGGTGACTCCTCCAAGTTCCTCCCTCCTTCCTCTTTCTCTTCTTCATGTTCCTCAGGCCCACCTGCAGTGCCCTGGGCAAGGCCCTGCTAGAGATGCTAGTGCAGGGTCTCTGGATCTCACGCAAGTGGATCCTCAGACTCGTCTGGCCAGTCTCCAAGTACTACATTTACTCTGGCTCCCAGGATTCCACTTCTCGGAAACTTGGCATCAGCAGCTCCCCCCATCCCTTTCCTGCCCCAGGAACTCGAGACTTTAAGGAAAGGGAAAATTGGAGGACCTACATGCCCAGAGCTTCCACTAAGTCCATGTGGTTCTTTTGTGCAAGCGGGAAAATGCGCCCCTTCTGCAAGACTCTCTATTGCCACCTGCTGGAACATCATGGCCATGTACTCGTTATAGTGGAATGCTGCTTGTTACAGCCATATGCCAGAAAATTGTTAGACACATCTGTGACCATGTGCTATGGACAATGTAACATTAGATGTGGTGCCCTTGTGCGGTACACGCCCTAGTCAACCGTGCATGGTGGTCCTGCACGTAGGGAGGAGGTTTCTCTTCGGAAGAGGCAAGGCAGCCTTATCCCCAGGTCCCTGTCCCCTGCTTCCCAACCCCATTCTTTCATTGCTTCTGAGTCTACAGCCTGAACTGGGCTGGGTGGCTGTCTAGGCCTGGCAATCGAACGAGAGCGGCACGGGCGGGACTCAGGCGAGGTCCGGAGGCTCCTCAACTCTTTGGAGTGTAGACACGATGAGTACGCCAAGAGCATGATCCTGCACAGTATCACGCGCTGCGTGTACTTGCTGGAGGCTGAGGTGAGGGATGGGAAGCAGGACGCCCCCCCAGCCAGCCTGGCCCCTGGGGCTACAGCCGATCCCTGTCCCGTGACTGGCCGGACTGTCCTGGGACCTGTCTCTCTCTGGCTGATGGTGGGAGGGGTGTGCCGAGGGATTGTGATGACGTGGGGGGCAGTGGGCCCAGGACACCCGCTTTTCCTGCCTCTGCCGTCTCTCCCCACATTCTCCAGGCCTCTGCTTGTACTACCGATGACATCGTGTTGGTGGGCAGCATGCTGGAGGACAAGGACAACAGTGTCAAAATCCAAGCTCTGAACTCACTTAAAGCTTTCTCTGGCATCAGAAAATTCAGGCTCAAAATCCAGGTAAGCCCAGGGCCAAGTGGTGGGGCAGAGCACACAGGATGTCCGTAGAACTGGAGTCCTTTAATTGGCACCGGATAAGCACTCATGTTCCAGAATTTTGTTTGGATCTAAGTTTGTAACCCAGAGATGAGTGGGAAAATGGTGGTCAGATTCCCAGCAGAGTCATGAAAGCCTTTGAAGCTCAGGAGGAAACTGAACCTGGGGCTCTGGTGGTATCTCTGAACCCCACACAGCAGAAAGCCCCCCTGTGGTTCTTTCTGGCACCAACCAATTCTCAACACCAGCTGGGTATCTAGCAATTCAGTCTGACACTGACTACCCAGAGTTAGCGCAGACGCCACGGGTTAAGGGCTCAGTCCGGCAAGCCTGCCCCCACTTCAGACACCGTCACAAGTCTGACTTCTGACTGACCAGCTGTAAGTTCAGGGGTTCCCTCAACTGCCTCTTTAGGTTGATAACTTGCTAACATAACTCACTGAACGTGGGAAGATACTTTACGTTTACCAGTTTATTATAAAGGACACAGTCAGATGCATGGGGCAAGGGGTCGGGGAAGGGGTGTGGAGCTTCCAGGCCCTCTCTGGGCACCCCCCACTCCCAGCATCTCCTGGGTTCAGCAACCTGGAAGCTCTCCGAACCTCATTGGCTAGAGGTTTTTATGGCAAGGTTAATTAAATCACCAGCCATTGGTGATTGACCTCAATCTCCAGCCCTTCGGCCTTCCCAAAGGTTGGGGGTTGAAGATCCCAAACCTCTAATCATACCTTGGTCTTTCTGGTGACCAGCCCTCACACTGAAGCTACCTAAAGGCCCTCCAAAAGTCACCTCATTGGCATAGACTCTGGTGTGACCGAAAGGGTTAAGAATAACAAGACTCAGGAAATTTTAAGGTGGCTGGACCACACATTCCTTCACCACCACCCTGTAGAGAAAATGTTAAACCACCAGATGCCACCTCCCCCATGTCCCACTGTAATGCCCCTGGCTCACCTGTTTCCGCACCTGTCCTCCCTGCTTCCTGCTGGTGGCCGCAGACATGGCATTCTCCCTGTCGGTGGTCAGTGCTGGCCTCAGGCCTGCACCCATCCCCTCCTTGCTCTTCCCCTCTGCCCCAGTGGCCTCCAGCCTCCTTCCCATCAGCATCCAGCATGCTCCAATCCCTCCCAACTTCCAAAGAAAACCAGAAAAACCTCTTCCTTGACCTCCCAGTCTCCCCCTAGCAAAGTGTCTATCTCTCCCAAATTAAAAATAAGTAAAACATTTAAAACTTACAAATACTGTATACATGTAAGGTAGAATAGCAATAAAACAAAACACACGCCACCAGACCCAAGCTAAGAGATAGAATATGGCCAATATGTTAGATCCCCCCAGTTGTGGCCCCTCCATCTCAACCGCCTCCCCCACCAGAGACAATCATGCCCTGCATTTTGTGTCTCGGTTCCGGGATACAGTTTTACCATATATGCATGTAACCCCGCATATTCTAGCAGGGCGAGGCAGATGATAAATAGGTTAAATATAGTCTGGGATGTTTTTAAGTTTCGTGTGCACGGAAGTAGGTGGTTTGTATTCTTCTGTGGTTTGTCTTTTTTTCCTCCAGCATTGAAAGATTGACCTTACTGGGCAGCTCTGTCTCCTTGTCTTTCACTGCTCTATCCTATTTTGTTTTACGAACACCGTGCCATTTGCCCACTGGTAGGCATCTGAGTTGTTTCCAGGAACTTGCTGCACCCACACCATGCCGTGAACATTCTCGTGTACGTCTCCCTCACGCCTGGGAGAGTTTCTCTAGGTGTACAGGAGTGGAATGGCTGGGTCAGAGGCTATGCCCGACTTTTCCAGAAGGGTTGTATCACTCTACACCCTACCAGCACTGCATGAATGTTCCTATTGTTTCGTACTCTCACCAACACTTGGGAATTTCACACTTTAAAATTTTTTGCAAAAAACTTTTTTTGGAGAAAAAAGTTTCTTTACACGTGCCCTCCCCAAATATGTACAGCTATGACATATCAATTAGAAAAATACCGAAAACAAAAAATAAAAACAGATTGAGAAACAAACAAAAAGTCTCCAGGTCTCCACTCGCTGGCTGCATCCCTCAGCCCCTCTGTTTCCCCAAGGCTGCGACTCGCAACCGTGTCACAATTGCCTGAAGAGCTGGTTAAAAGCAAAGAGTCGGGGGCCCACATCTAGAGAGTTCAGCTCAACGGGGGAGCTGTGTTTTTCACAAGCCCCCCAGGAAGTCCTGACGCAGGCGGCCTGATCCGCACCCTTCCCTTCGCTCCAGTGTGGTGTCCTGAGGGCCTGACCCCTATTCTCTTTCCGGGTTAAAGTAGTTATTCCCTGATCTCAGCTTCCATCTAGATGTGTTCTGGATCTCTGCAGCCTGGGGCTCCCTTGACGTGTTCCTGGTGGCCATCTGCTACTGGACGTATCCACTTAGATGCCCTAGAAGCCTTCTGACCCAACACATCCAAAGCGGAGCTCACGCCACTCCCCAAGCCACACCACACTCCCCGTCTGCCCGCTGTCCTGCCCCCGCGGCTGTCAGCATGAAGTGCCTGGTTGGTGGTGGGCTACACTTCCCTGCCCTGACCGTGGCCACTTACGCTGCGTGCTTTGTGCTCTCCCACGCCCTGGCCCTGGCACCTGCTGCTCCCTCTTCCTGAAACCCTGCCCCAGACCTGCTGACTCCAGCCTGTCCTTCAGGTCTCAGCAGACAGTGAGGGATGGGGGCAGGGAAGAGCAGAGTACTAATGGGACACTTACTTCCACCCCAGGATTCTTGCTGTTTCTTCCATAGCTCACAAAGGTACAGCTTGTGAGGTTGCCTGTCTTTGGCAATACCTGTAGGTCCAAGCAGGTTGCATCTCAGAACCCAAGATCCCTTCATTCGTTCAACAAATGTATATTGAACACTTACCTTGTGCCAACACACTGTTCTAGGCACTAGAGAGAAAGCAGTACGCAACAGGAAAGACACCTGCCCTTGCAGGGTGTACATTCTAACAGGGCGAGGCAGGCAATACACAAATAAGTAAAACATACAGTGAGTTTCATGTAAGCGCTACAGAGAAAAATAAAGAGGGAGGATAAGAAAGGCTGAGTGGGGGTAGGGCTGCAGTTTTTTTTTTTTTTTTTGAGACAGAGTCTGGCTCTGTTGCCCGGGCTAGAGTGCCATGGTGTCAGCCTAGCTCACAGCAACCTCAAACTCCTGGGCTCAAGCGATCTTCCTGCCTCAGCCTCCCGAGTAGCTGGGACTATAGGCATGAGCCACCATGCCCGGCTAATTTCTTCTATATATATTTTTTTAGTTGTCCAGATAATTTCTTTCTATTTTTAGTAGAGACAGGGTCTCACTCTTGCTCAGGCTGGTCTCGACCTCCTGACCTTGAGCGATCCACCCGCCTCGGCCTGCCAGAGTGCCAGGATTACAGGAGTGAGCCACTGCGCCCGGCTGGGCTGCAGTTTTGAAGAAGAAAATCTTCTGGGACTGGTGAATAGCTCATGGCACCAAAAGCATGATCTATAAAAGAAAAAAATAAATTGGACTTCATTAAAGTTAAAAACATTTGCTCCCTGAAAGACCCTGTTAAGAGGATGAAAAGATGAACTGCAGACTGGGAGAAAATATTTGCGGACCACATACCTGATAAAAGGACTTGTCTGCATTATATAAAGTGCTCTCAAAACTCAGTATTAAAGAAAACATGCAATCCAATTAGGAAATGAGCAAAAGACATGAAGAGATATTTCGCTGAAGAAGATATATGGGTTGCAAATAAGCACATGAAAATAGATTTAATATCACTAGCCGTTAGGGAAATGCAAATTGAGACCACAATGGGATAGTACTATACACCTAACAGAAGATCTAAAATCAAAATTAATGACAATCCCAAATGCTGGAAAAGATGCAAAGAAACCGAATTCTTTCATACATTGCCAGTGGGAATGTAAAATGGTACAGCAGCCACTCTGGAAAATAGTTTGGCGGTTTCTTTCAAAACTAAATATTCATTTACCCACCAGAAACTGCACTCCTAGACATTTAGCCTAGAAAAATGAAAACTTACATCTTCATTGAAACCTGTACACAGTTGTTCATAGCAGCCTTATTTGGAATAGCAAAAACTGGAAACAACCAAAGTGTCTCCCAACAGGCGAACGGGCCAGCACACGGTGGCGCCCCATAGCACGGGTAGACTGGCGATACCAAACAACAACTCGAGTAGCTCCCAAGGGCGCTATGCTGAGTGATAAAAGCCAGTCTCAGCCGTTCACATAAAGTTTGATTCCTTTTATATAACGTGCTCAAAATGAAAAAGGTCGGAGAGATGGAAAACAGATTAGTGGCTGCCAGGGGTCCAGGCTGGGGGAGTAGGTGGGAGAGACTCTACGGCGTCCCACGGCGGTGGGACAGTTCTGCGGGAATAATCTGTTGATTACAGTGGCGGTTACACACATCTGTGCGTGTGATTCATTCAAATGACCTAGAACGAGGCACACGTACCAACACCAGTTTCCTAGTTTCGATGTTGTGCTATGATTACGTAAGATGTCGCCATGGAGGGAAACTGGGGGAAGAGCACACGGGACCTCTCTGTGTTATTTTTGCAACTTCCTGTGAATTTATGTTAATAGTTATTTCAAAATAAAAAGTTTACAAATGGAAAGTGTGTTGCATGTGACAATGCTATGGAGAAATAGAAAATAAAGATGGGGCATAAGGAAGGCCGGAACGCGGGTGGTTGGGGGAAAGCCTTGAAAAGGTGGCGTTTAGGCGAAGCCTTGCAGGAGGTCAGCGTGAGCTGTGCGTCTCTGGGGGAAGGGTGTTCTGAGCAGAGGGAACAGCCTATGCGAACACCCTGAGACATGCGCCTGGCATGTTCCAGGAATAGCTAAGGAGGACATTGTGGAAACCACAGGAGCAAGGAGAGAATAGGAGATGAGATCAAAGAAGCAGTGGGGAGGGAGGGGTAGATCACAGGGTACAACATGCCACCGTAAGGACTTTCATTTTTACCCTGAATGAAATGGGGGCTCGTAAGCGCGGAGGAGTGACACGTCTAACATGTCTGCAGTTCTGAAAATAGACGCAGGGGGGCGAGGATGGCGGCAGAGAGACAGGAGGCTATTGCAGAAATCCAGGTGAGGGAGGATGTGGCTCAGAAGAGGGTGGTAGTGGTGGGGGTGGTGAGAAGTGGCTTGATTTTTGATCAAGTGGCTAGACGTTGAAGGTAGTGCCCACAGGATTTTCTGAAGGATTGGAAGGGGGCGGCGAGAGGAAGAAAGGAGTCGAGAATACCACAGATTTTTGGCCTGAGCAACCGGAAGAAATGCATAACCAACCGCTGAGACAGGGAAGGCTGTGGAAGAAGCAGGGGTGGGGTGGGGAGAGCGTGCTGACTCTGCGAGGTCTGTGAGACATTCGGAGAGAAAAGTGCAGTTGGCGGCTGAATAAATGGGTCTGGCTTGGGCCGGAGGCATCAGCACGTGGATGGTATTTAACACTGAGCGTCTGACGACGCCCCCGCAGGAGTGCTGTAGGTAGAGGAGAGCAGGTTGGGCACAAGAACCAGGCAGAAGCCTGTGAAAGAGAAGCCAAGTGAAGACGAGACTTCCAAGGGGCTGGGAGTGGTCAACTGGGGCAAATGATGTTGAGAGTTCAAGCCTGGGGAACTGTCTGTTGGTCTGGCCCAGGGGCCACTGCTCGGGGTAGTGAGGAGTGAAGTCAGAGGCTGGGGTAGTGGTGGGGATCTCCGCATGAAAGCAGACCCTTCTTTCTTCCCAACCCCAGGAACACTCCATCAAGGTCCTGGAACTGATCTCCACCGTCTGGGACACAGAGCTGCACGTTGCGGGCCTCAGACTGCTCAACAACCTTCCCTTGCCCGACTATGTGCATCCGCAGTTGCGACGGGTGATGCCTGCCTTGATGGAGATCCTGCAGTCAGACCACATCCTGGCACAGGTGCCTGAGGACCACGGCCAAGGCCCTGCCTTCCTGACCAGCCCCAGCACAGCACCAAGCGGGAGAAGCAGAAGTTTGTCTTCCCTGCTCGGGCCCAGACTCACCTTCCTGCCCGTACTTTACTCTTTCCTCTATGCAGGTGCAAGCCGTACGGTTGCTGAGCTACCTGGCACAGAAGAATGACCTCCTCTATGATATTCTCAACTGCCAGGTGAGAAAGACACTGAAGAGGGGCTGATGGATGCCAACTCAGGTATTGGGGAGGGAAGAATCATGGCTTCTTCATCCAGAATTAGCCTTGATGAATTGTCTTCCTGCCTCTGCACTAAATGCATTGAAAACCATCCCCTCACCAGGCACAGTGGCTCATGTCTGTAATCCCAGCTACTTGCTCGGGAGGCTTAGGTGGGAGGATTGATTGAGGCCAGGAGTTCAAGACCAGCCTGGGCAATATAGTGAGACCCTGTCTATACAAAAAATTTAAAAATTAGCCAAGCATGGTGGTGTGCATCTGTAGACCCAGCTGCTTGGGAGGCTGAGGTGGGAGGATCATTTGAGCCCAAGAGTTCGAGGAGGCAGTGAGCTACGATTGTGCCACTGCACTTTGGCCTGGGTGACAGAGTGAGACCTCATCTCTAAAAAAAAAGAAAAAGAAAACCATCCCCTCTTTTCTGTTCTTCCAACAGAATGAGGATCCATTTTGTTGGGAGGGGGATTCTCCCTTGGGGGGAATTTCTGAATTCCTAGAGTTAGGAACATAGGAGACAAAACAAAAGTTAATGTAGGTTATTTTAATATTAGTAAAAAATGACTTATGGTAAAGAACATTATTAGGGATATAAAGAGTTACTATGTAATAATCAGTGGTTCAGTTTACCAGAACAATAAAGCAACTCTAAACTTACATGCACCTAATAACATAATCTCAAGTTATATATATGGCAAAACTTGGTGGAATTATAAAGAGTAATTAACAAATCTACCACCACAGTGGGAGATTTGGAAGATTTTAACTACTCTTTCACCAACTGATAGACAAGAAACTAAAACTAGTAAGGGTTTACTTGGTATAAATAACACAAATAAGCTTGAGCCATTACATTTACCTAGAACACTGTACAGTTATTAAATGCACATTTAGCCAGGTATATGGCTCATGCTTATAATCCCAGCAACTCAGGAGGCTAAGTTGGGAGGATTGCTTGAGCTCAGGAGTTCAAGACCAGCCTGGACAACATAGTGAGACCCCATCTCTAAAAAAAATTAAATAAATATTAGCTGGGTGCAGTGGCACATACCTGTAGTCCTAGCTACTTGGGAGGCTGAGGTGGGAGGATTGCTTAAGCCCAGGTGTGATAATGAAAGGAAAACTAAAAAATTCCTGTACAGTTGAGTCTGAAACTTAAGTATACTGGGGAATTGAGGCACTAGGAGGATGGAAGAATAGAAATTTTAGAACTTGCCTCTCTCACCATTCCCATCACAGGTGCACTCCAACTTCCTGAATCTGTTCCAGTCCACAAAGCCAGGGAGTCTCCTGTTTGAGGTACTGGTGTTTGCTGAGCGGCTGAGTGAGGGCCAGAATGCATCCCACTACCGCGCCGTGAAATGGCATTACAACGAACAGTCTCTGCACGAAGCTCTCTTTGGGGACGAGTCGCGCCTGGCAGACCGGCTGCTTGCCCTGGTCATCCACCCTGAGGAGGATGTTCAGATCCAGGCCTGCAGGGTCATAGTCAGCCTGCAGTGCCCCCCGGACTTGGGAGTCCGGCCCTCCTGCCAGCCCAGTCATTCCTACTTTAAATGCGGGGAATAAAATTACGGAGAGCCAATAAATGAGTATGGACAGGAGCTTGAAGCTTCTTAAAGCTTGCGTGTCTGTCCGTGGTCTTCCAGGGCTGGGTGGAGATTTCATTCAGCGCAACCTCAGCCCCGGGTCACAGGAGTGTTCTCCCAAAACACACCCCCACTTCCATATTTGAGGGACTGACTCCCCTCTTCTCTTGCTGCTCTTCAAACCTGAATGTGGAGCCAGAGCTTTCAGGGCATTGGGAGAAGGCAGCCTGGGCACTGAAGCCAAACATACCGCAGGAGACACTTGGCCTGGGACTGGGCGGCCAGGCTGGGGTGCGCCACGGTCCCAACCGCCACGTCTCTTTAAAAATGGCAAAGGTTATTTCTTATTCACACGGCGTGCCCACTGCAGGTCCGCTGGAGGCTGGAAGGGCAGGCTCTATGTCATCCTCACTCAGGGACCCAGGCCCCGGGGGCTCCTTCACTGTGTTTCTACAACTATTAGAGAAGGAAAGAGAATGTGGCAGTGGTAACTGGCTCTTAAAATTTCCACCACAAATGACACTCACCACTTTCGCTCACGTTTCACTGGCCAGAGCGGGCAGGGAAGCTCAGTCTTACCATGTGTCCAGGAAGAACTGAAAATATTCGGTGACAGCATCGACAGAGACCTGCAGACCTACTGGGTAAGAGTGGGAGCACCGGAATCGGACCGCTCGGCTCAAATCCCAGCTCTGTCACTTACTAGCTGTGACCTTGGGGGAGCCCATTAGAGCCTCAGTCCCTTCATCTGTAAAATGAATGTAATAAAAGTACTTATCTCTTGAGGCTGTTGGGCTTGCGTGGGTTCGTGAACGGAAGGCAGGGTGTTCTGCATGCGCTCCCACAGATGGGCTGAGAATTCTTCATGGAGAAAATGAGACATTAGCACTGGGGAGGTCCTTGGCGGGTGTCGAGTCCAATATTTCTCCAGTCTCTTCAGGTTATAGGCACTGGGGAGTCCTAGAGTCCTTCAGAAAGCACCCTGAGATGCCTCTGGAACTTAGCTTTGGAGACCACAGCGATTGTGTGAGTCACACGAAACCGTAATCACGAAGTCTCTCAGAACAGGGAGACTGCCAAACCGAATACGCTCACCCGCTTCCTGATGTTCCATTCATTTGCATTTCCCACTTGTGCATTCCCTGTTTTATCTGTGAGTCCTTGCCGGCAAGCAAACAGTAGTGATCGTTCATGGTTTAAGAAAATGTTATGGGAGAAAAGCCTACTGCTGGAGCTGGTCGCAGTCTGCTGCTCCATCCAGGACGCAGAACAGGTCCCGCCGCAGACCCCGACATTCTCCAGAGCAGGATTTGAAAACCGCAATCTCACCCAGGACCAGCCCTGGCGTTTTATTGAAAGGAAAGCAAACCCAAAGGAGAAAAGTGTCTTGGCCAAGGTCACAGGACCGGTCTGGGGCAGAAATAGGATTACAACCTCCCAGTATTGGGCTTTTTTTCTTTCATATTCTTTGGCCTGAGCCTCGTGAGAGTGGGCCATGGATTCTAAGCCGACATTGTGGAAGTTGGGAAAGATCTTGATGCTTCTGGTGTTTACAGGCCAGTTTAGGACTGAACTACCTAAGGAAATCTGTCCCCACTTAATCCCTGACCCAGGGTCACATCGCTTGTGAGGGGCGAGGACCGTGGTTGCTGGTGAGGATGGGCTGATCCGAGAGAGCTAGCTTCTACGGAGGGACCGACCTCGTAGCTCTCTCTCAAAGTCGGACCCGTCACCTCGGAGTGGACAGTCACTACTGGATCCGAATCAACATTCTTTGTCTCTGTTGAGTTCAGGACTGAGGCTTCTCCTTCCTGTTACTTGGATACACTGCAGCCACCCGGGTGGAACTCGTCAAATGCCAACAGCACCCTACCCCCCCCAACCAGCTCCCTGTGTGCCCACATCAGCAGCGAGGTATTGGGCATCACGTTCAAATTCTCCTCCCCACCACATCCGCCCCGTCCTCCCATTTCCACGGCCAGTACCCTCTCCCCCGCATCAGGACTTTTCCTGCATCTGGTCTCCGTCCTCTCCAGCCCTGCACATTGCAGATGAACCCTAGAATCCCACATCGCACCATCCTCAAGAACGTTCGGGGCTCCCTATCACCATAGGGAAGTTTTTCTCAGCCTCCAAGTGAAGTCACATGATCTAACAAGTAGAAACATACTTTCAGCGAAAGCAGGTTGAGTTTTGTCCTCAAAGATGTGGTCACTGGACCCCTTTTTTTTTTTTTTTTTTTGAGACAGAGTCTCACTGTGTTGCCCGGGCTAGAGTGCTGGCGTCATCCTCACTCACAGCAACCTCAAACTCCTGGGCTCAAGCGATCCTCCTGCCTCAGCCTCCCGAGTAGCTGGGACTACAGGCATGCGCCATCATGCCCGGCTAATTTTTTCTATATATTTTTAGTTGTCCAATTAATTTCTTTCTAATTTTTAGTAGAGACGGGGTCTCGCTCTTGCTCAGGCCGGTTTCGAACTCCTGAGCTCAAACAATCCGCCTGCCTCGGCCTCCCAGAGAGCTAGGATTACAGGCGTGAGCCACCGCGCCCGACCTGGACCCCTTCTTCACACAATAGAGCCCAATGAATTAGCTTCATTCAAGGCCCTTTGCAATGTGACCCTTTTGCCTGCCGCAAGCCTGCTGTGCAAAGCTATGCTCCAGCCAAACTGGAGCGAACTAATCGTTGCTGCCTTAATCATACCATGTGTCGCCTTGCCTCCAAACTTCCCATACAACCTCCCCTACCTAGAATGCTAAAACGGCCTTCCTTCTCCGTTCTACTGGGCTGTGCCTTCTAGAGTCATCAGAGCTGAACCATGCCCCACTGCAGCCTAGATCTTTCTTCCACTATACCAGCCTTTGGTGCTGCCTATAGCACTTCTCATCTGAACCGCTCACTTGGCATTTGGCAAACCAAAGCTTGGATCTTACAAACCTTGTTTGTTTTTGTTTTTATTTTGCAGTAAAGCATATTTGACTGCTTATCAAAACCTGAAAGAAGAGCCTGCTCAGGGTAGGCACACAGTAGCAACCGGCCGATGGTAGTGGAAGGAGAGTTAGCGGTGGGCAGAGCAGATGGGAGTGGGGTATTAGTTATCTGTTGCTGTGTGACAAGTTGCACCAAAACGTGGTGTGTCTGGGTCTGAGTCTGATTGAGAGAAAAACCACACGGTAATTTGAACAGAAAATTCTAATATAAATATTAAAACAAGGGATTGGAGTAACAAAGAATTGGTTAGTAAGGAGTAATGAGAACCCTACGGAACACATGTATAGCAGACGTAAGGGCAGCTCCTCCCTCCAGGGCTGAGCTAGAGCACCCGAGGAAGAAATACTGCTCACTAGATGGCAGAAAAGTCACTGTACTGTCATACCAGTGGAACTTGCCAGAAATATGCACTCTAGGACGCCAGGGAAAGCTCTTCATGGGGAGACATGGAACCAAAGGCACTCCGCTACTGAGTGGCGGCAGGGGAAGCTGCTGCCCGCTGGGTGTTGCTGGCCTCCACGTACCACGGGAGCTGGCACTGGAGAACCAGTGGGTGCTGCAGGAGCCTGATGCAGGAGAAGCCAGGGGCACACAGGTGCTGGGGGCTGGAGAAGGGGCAAAGGCTGCAGGAGAAGGGGCAAAGGCTGCAGGAGGAGGCATTCTGCTTACACTACAGCCCAGGGTGGGGCTGTGCCAGGAGACGCTGCTAGCCACTGGGTGTCGCTGGCAAAGGTGTTTGGGCTGTAGAAGCCTATTAGTCAAGCACATTGGAACCAGGAAGCAAAAACCTGGTCCTCCTGCAATGTCCCTCCAGCTCCTGTCCTCCTAGCAATTTAAAATATCAATAAGCATACGTAATCTCTTACAGGAATTCAGGAACATTTTGGCTGGCTGGTTCTGGCTCAGTGTAGCTGCAGTTAGTAAAGCTTTTGCCTGGGGCTGCCGTTATCTGAAGGCTTGACTGGGGCCAGAGGGTCCCCTTCCAAGATGGCCCATGTATGGGGCTTCCAAGTTGGTGCTGGCAGTTGGCAGGAGGCCTCAGTTTCTCTGCATGTGGGCATCCCACAGGGGTGTTTGAGACTCCTCATGACATTAGCTGTCTTCCGCTAGAGTGACTCGTCCAAGAGGGAGCAGAGCAGAAGCTGCAATGCCTTTTCTGACCTAACCTCAGAAGTCCTAGTTGCCACCTCCACCACATTCTGTTCACCCTAATGGTGAGTCCAGCCCCCATTCAAAGGAAAGGGAATTGGGGCTCTACGTTTTGAAGCGAAGGGTCAGAGAATTTGCCAATATTTAAAAATCATCATGGGGGCATCAATCAACAAGGACTAATTGAACATCTACTGTGTGCTCAGCAGCTAGATGCATCTGTTTCCCCATAGAGAGGTTCCCTGCCAAGGAGAAGAGAAAGTTTTTAAACAATAGTTGCCACCCCATCCCCTCCCTCAGTCTTCCTTGCAGCTGGTTAGCTGGTTTTCTTACCTACAGACTTATTTTACCTTTAGGAAATTATATGTCTAAGGAAATATCCTTTTAGTTGATTTGGAGAAAGCTTCAGAGAAGAGGAGGGGCTCGAACCATGTCCCCAGAGAGGAGAGAGAAGAGCTCTCCAGGTTGGGCGAGTCACCTGGACTTTACCGAAAGGGCAACCAATCAGTGTTTCCCTCCGATGGGATGATGATGGGGGTAGGGCTGGTACGTGGCATTGGCCAGGCAGAATGCCAGTTACGCTATAACTGATTACTCGAAGGAGATAAACGAGAGACAGAGACAAAGGGACTTCCAAGCCCCTGCACGGCTTCCACTAGGAGCCCAGCACGGGGCACTCAAGCAAACTGGGGGGAGTGGGGTCTCTGGTTTGCCTTAAAACTTAAAGCAGGACCTTTCCTTTTCTCTAAACTCCCGTGTTACCACCAACCGCCCTCTGAGACCAAAGCAGGAAGAGCTCTGGAGTTGCTCTTGTAAGTGAACAGAGAGAAATGGAGGAAAAGAAAGGAAAGAGATTGATTTACTTTTTGTGAAACAAGAAC